GCTCGTGCCAGAGCACCCCGACATCGGGCATGCGAAAACGTAAAGAACACATTGTTTGACGCCAGAAGAAGTCCTCCACCGTGGCAACCAGATTGCAGAGAGGCGGTGCTGCAGGTGATCCCATTGCGACTCCACGTTCTTGCCGGAACAAGTAGCCATTGATCTCGAAGTGACTGTTGTCAATGACAAAGTCAAGGAGATAACGAAGGTCTTGTTCACGAAAGGTTCGAGGTACCTTAGTCTGGCGGCGCCATTTTCCTTTGAACATACGGCGTCTATGATCTGACTTCACTTCGTACACCGACCGTTGTGAGGATCGGCGGAGGCCAACTACTTGGTCATACCGATGAAGAAGCACCTGTAGTGCCTGATGGAAACGCTCCGTGGGAATGGACGTGAAGAAACCGGACAGGTCCTGAGACACGAGGTGGATGTATTCGGCGGGATCTGCTTTTGACAGCGCGTCCCAGAGCTGTTGGACAAGTTCTTGGACCGAAAGCTGCCCTGGTATGTCAGGAAAGGTAACTTTGGTAAGTTCAAAAATGAGGGCGCCGAAGACCGTGAGGAAGGGTGCTGCCCACGTGCGAAAGAAAGAAATGATGGGTCTTGCTTTCTGCCAGTCCTTGGTCGGCTTTGGAAGGATGCGAGCTGTAGGCAGCGGTGCTTGAAGTCGAAGTCCCCACGCGTAGCGCTGATGTAGGAGGGAAGGTATCGTAGTAACCACTTCGGAGCGAAAGGATGCTGCAGATTCCCGACACAGCGAAAAGACTTCTCCCGAGCAAAAGGTCTTGTGCATCAGTATGGCAAACAACGAAGGACAAATCACATGTGCACGAGAGGGAAAATGATCCGCTGGAATTACAACCCACGAGGACAGAGAAGTCACGGTGCGTTGTAGAGATGTGGATGTCCAATAAGCACGATCTTGAAGGTTGGATCGATGGGTGTCAATCAACTGAGTCAAAACAGGTCGTAGATCAGTAAGAAGACTGGAGCCTTGTACATGCCACCGACGAGCTAGTTTGCGAAGCTGAGCGGTAAAACGCTGGTGCAGCAAGTCGACATCGCCGAAATACTGATCCTTCATGGACGCGGCCATGATGTCCATGTCGATGTCCGCATTGATGTGTGAGAACTCATCTACCATTACTGCATGTTCATGTGCACGGTGTAGGTGGTGATCATGAATGTCCAAACAGCGACACGGAAAAGATATGTCAGGAGTCCATCTGCGTTGCCATGTGCGGTAGTTGTAGATCCTGTCTCCCAAAGTGGCACTGCGAGTCTCCACCACCCGGATCTTTGGAAGAAATAGGGAGGGGAACAAGCCACGATGTGAAGCAACCCAACGTTGTAACCACGTGCCAAGCTGTGCCTTCCAATTTCGTACATGTAGAGGCGGTAGTAGTAGTTGTGTCAAAGTGCTTGGTGATTGGAGCTGTCGTTTGCGCATCACCTGGGCGAGGAGCTTTTGTGCCTTTGAACGAAAGGGCTCGTTGACGAAGACGGAGAGTCGCAGGAAGTAGTAAAGCTGAGTGGGAGGACAAGCCGCCGACAGTAAGTCTCGCATGGCTTGGAACGACGCGCCTGTGTTGGATCCCAGCTGATAAAGAGTGGAGTAATGCGCTTGAATGTCATCCAACATTTCAGGTCGTAATTGCCGTTGAAGATCTGGATGTAGTCGTCGTCGAAAACGTTTGTGTAGCCCGAGTGAAGTGGGTGATGACAACGAATGACGTCGAAAGTCAACAAGATGCTCCCGGAAGCCCGCCTTTCGATCAAGTCTATGTACCCAGGGTGCATTCAAATGCGGACGCAGCAAGTATTGCCACTTGCTTTCCTGGACCCAAACCGAGGAAATGGGGAGTTTGATCTCAACCGGAATGGCACAAAAAAGCCAGTAAGTGTTGGTGCGCTTCCAGTAATGAAGTGCAGGTTCGAAGAAGGCGTGACGTCCCCGAAGCAGTTGTAGAAATTTGCGACTACGCGAGTGTTCTCGTCGTAGAACATCCTGATCAGTCGCTCCAACGTAGTATGGAGTATGCCATGGGGAAAGTCGGATATAGACGCATGGTAGTTGATGGTGACCTGGATCGTGAATGAAGTCATAGAGGTCTGGGAAACGTGTCCGTAATGAGCGAAGATGTCTTGTGTCTGCAAAGGTGGAATGCATAATTTCACACAGCAGAGACGTCTTGTAGAAGTGAAGAACCTCGAAGAACGGTGGGACATATCCATAATCTTGAGAAATGAGACGTTGCAAGAAACTGATCAATAAATAGGCCGTGCACCGGCACCTGTGAAGTTCATACCTGTTGGCCGCAGTGTGGTGAGACTGTGACATGGCATGAATCGGAATCTGAAGTGCAATCCGGACCACAACTAGTACTTCCAGAATAAGGCCCACCCAAGGTAGTTGTAGAACTGACTCATATTCATCCAGTGGTACCGACGGTGGTGGAAGTCCAGGAAAGCAGTATTGCCAGCACGTAGTGAACGTCCAAGGAATGCCATTGTGCAACATCATCATAGATTCCACAGCGGCGAAGCTCAGCCAACATGGTGAACATGCAACCAATGAAATCTACAGCATGGCGGCGACATGAATTCAAGCGGCAAATAAAACCAAGCAATTGACAACACAAGCACAGACAAGCGCATCATCAAACAAGTGCAAAGCAAGAAGAGGACGGACGAGTTTTGAACCTTTCCTCAATCGTGACACAGATGCCGCTCCGGGCTCATAAGTGGACGAAGGAAACTGCTCACCCACTGAGTAAGCGGGCGGTCACGATGAGGTGACACAGCGCCTTGTCAGTGAGCTTGGTGAGGTAGCCAGGCTCCAATCCCCACGAAGCCGCCATCGCCGCAAACGTAGGTGCGTCTCCTTTTGGCATGTGTTGACGCGCCTGAAGGAGTTGCACCGCCATGGAATCCAAGCACTTGTTGCCGTTGAGACGGGACGGGTGATTGGCCCACTTGATCAGTGACGCCAAAGTGGTGGTTGTGGGCGATTGCTTGAGATACAAGCGTGGCTGATCACTGGTCCATGTGTAGTACTTGATGATGTCAGCCGGCGTGCTGCGCATGGTGAGCAATTTTGAAGTCGCCGGCTTGGCAGGCGATGAAGAAAGTCCGTGAAGAGACTGAATGATCCGGGGTTGCACCGCGCCATCAAACGACTTGCCATCAAGGGCCGCTGCGCTGACCGTAGGGAGGGAGCTGGGAGGTGATGAAGATTGTGTGTGGTTGACCGGTGGTGGTGTAACCAACTCTGCATCTTCCTTCTGGTTTGGCACTGTGGGGGAAGTCGAAGCGCGTAACATTGCTGAATACTGAGCCTAGAGCAACTCATGAGCACGATTTAGATCATTGAACTTCTTGACCATGTCATCCGTTTGGGTAGAGGGCGTGAGAGTGGCGTGGTGTTGCTGGAGAAACTGAAGTACCAAGTTGGCCAAATGGTCATGAACCTTGATCCGCTGATTGAAGTCGCCCAGGTTGAGCCCCGGCGAGTTGGCAAGGTCCTTTTCCAAGGTGAGCAGGTTGATCGACTGTGATCGTCGTAGTAGTTTGGAACAGGTGCTCCAAAGTAAGGCCTCGGTGCGAGTGCGAAAGCCTTCCCACGTCACGAATCTGCCGTGAGCAAACGGTCGGAGCAGCCAGTTGGTGATGCCCCCGTGAATGACCTGAACCAGGCGAACGTCACGAATGTCCATGCCTGACATGTCCCGTAAGTTGTTGTGCGGGGTGTTAGCGACCGTCATGGGCAGGCTGAAGTTGTAGAGCTGGTTGGTGTCTAGCATGCCATCTCCAGGTGTCCAGTCAACCGATGGTGCAAGCCAGGCTTTCTGAGGTCGAACTGGAAGGGCTGCAGGTTGTACAGGTGATGGTGTAGCTTGCGAGGGAGTGACCGATGGCGGCATCACGGGCGTCATGAACTTCGTTGGTGTGGGCTCTGGAGGAACCGGCATCATGTAGTTGATCGGTGAATGATGGAACTGCTGCGTGGGGTTTGGAATCGATTGATAATTCTTCGGCATCACCGGGAAATTGTTGGCGGAGTTGTAGCCGGAGTTGTGTTGCCAGGATACCAGGTTGTTCCAATCCATGCCCTCCGAGACCTGGTTGTCATTGTATTCACGTCGGCGTGCTTTACGAGCTTGAGGGGAAGGACTCCGATCACGTCTGCGCCGAGTCCTGGATCTGTCGCGATCATCACGTCGAGACATGGTGGCGCAACCAACTCACAACCGTCACCCTTCAATCTTGAGAGAAACGAATCCGACAAAATGCAAGTCAATGCAAGTTCAAGTCAGCGGCCGTCAGCAGCAATGGTGAGAGGAACGAATCCGACAAAATGCAAGTTAATGCAAGGTCAAGTCAGCAGCCATCAGCAGCTCTGGTGAGACGTCTCTATGATCTGACGGCTGTCTTCCCTTTAGTGAAACCTCGTTCCTGGTTAAATGTGAAATCGCTGTTCTATGATAAGAACGTTGAGGTCAAATTTTCCGACAAAGCCGGCCCGGGCTCACACAATGGGTACACCCGAGGATTCCCCATGAATGGGGTGTACACACTTAAACTCCAGATGGAGGGTGCTAATCTTTCGAGTACAACTGATGAGTCTCGAGTACAACTGATGAGTCTCGAGTGGGTGTAGGTTCGGCTTGCAGTCACTTGGTTTCCGTCTAGCAGCGAAAACGTTACAAATTCAACATGAAGCACACACAGCGAGAGAAACAACGGGCCAAATGGACATTGCACAACCGTTGCAGGTACACAATCCAGCGTCCCGGATTGCATCACACTTCTCATCAGGCGTCTTCGTTGGCCTGAGTCCTGATGAGAAGCCTCAAGCCCCCTGCTGTAGAGGTGAAAACTTGATGTTGGTGACAGGGTATTCTGTCACTCTGCACACACACACACAAACAAACACACGCAAGATGCAATTTATTGAGCAAAGTCCTGCTTCTCGAAGCTTCGCTTCCGCCCCCCGCCTGGTGCTTCAGCTTGTTCACCTGGCCGGGTTTGACGGGGCCCTACACCAAACTGCGGATCGGAACAACTTCTGAACCAGCCGATTCCCGCTCAATACCGCCGATTCCCGCCCCTCCAGCCAATAAGGGTTTTCTGCGGCACCAGCATAACAGTCCATGGACTTCTATAATAAGGTCTTGCAACGAAGTGTCACACTCGAAGCTTAAAATGGCCGTTCCCAAGCAACACAAACTGAGCCCTTTGCCACTGCCGACCAGAATTGCAAGACCTAAGCCAAAACCCAGCATTGGTCAAGGTCGATGCAAAGTTGAGCCAACCCGCACCCAACTAGGTGAGTGCTACTAAGCGTATAACATCTAGCCAAGGTTTGCGGAGGCACACGGACGGCAAGATGGAACAACAACGCCTTCTTTGAGCAGGTTGCTGGTTTGACCTGTCAGCCTCATCTCCCTAAAGATCTCTTTTCGTATCAAAGCGAGGAGAAAATATCGGCGCCGCATTGACATGTTGTCATTCAAGCCGAACCACGTTGGGGCCGTAAGCTCGAGTGGACTGCTGAAACAAAAACCCTGACCTTCAACACCAGCTCGTCGTTCTCCTTGGTCAAGCGCTCCTTCTCCTCGGGAGTGAGCTGCTTGTCCTGCGCCATGCCAGATATGAGATGTTCAGGCAGAGCGGTTGGGAAAGGACAATTTAGCATTGCAAACAGCGTGTCGTTTTCGCTTTGCGGCCGCAGCAAAACACAAATTGACATTAAAGCCTCAGACCCTGAAGGCGATCCTTGAAACAAGGGTCGCACAAGGAGGGGCAACAAACACGTTTTGGATGCACCAAACAAGAATCCAGCTCTCCAAGGGCTGAGCTCCGTTTCCCATCGTGCCTCCTCCTCTGCCTTCTTCTTCCTCAGCCTGGCCGCTATGCTTGAAATTGTGGTGAATCGATATGATACGAGAAGCCCGACTGTGTTGAACCTTTTTCACACACCGAAGCCGTGCCCACAATGCAGGAATCCTGACCAAAGCTTGATACTACCTCTGACGCAAACAAGCGCGGGCTTTGCAGTGGCCAGTGGGGCATCCTGGGGCGCCAGCCAGTCCAGCATGAATAGCACAGCATCCTGTGGCTGTCATTGCATCTCTTTGATCAACTCTGCTTACGTGCATCAGTTTTTGGAACCGTGACAAGCCGACTGTCGGCTTGCATCTTGCTGACTGGAAATTGACAGCTTCCGTCCTTGGGCATCTTGTGCATGCATTCTTCCGTCAACTCTTCAAGGATCGGATTCAATGACTCGAAGATGTACCTGATGCTCTCAAATCTAATCACAGCCAACATGTCCAGAAGGGCATTTGTCGAGGAACTACAGTTGGGCTGACATGCGAGCCGTGGTCAAAACTGCTGTTTTGGGCCATGGTCACGATTTCCTTGGGAGGAACCCTTTAGTGACTGACTGAAACCCTCTTTGGGATCCATGACAATCCCTGCCAACACCAAGACAAAGGGGTCTTTGATCATGGCACATGCTGGTTGCAGCCATGCGGCTTTTTCTTGTCCTCAGAAATCTTGAGCACCTGGGGATGGTAAACGGATATCAACGGCAGGCGCGTTTGGCCATGTGTCCAAACGAGTTCGACCCGTTGCGGCCCAACTCGTAGAAAGGAAACCACAAACCAAATTACTTTTGGATGGATTGTTCAGTTTGCGGCACAGGTCAAACAGAACGCTGAGCGCAGTACATCGAGTCCTTCCATGGCTGCAATGTTCGAAACGCTAAAAGCCCACGTCTTGGCTGCGAACCGCCGCTGGCTTCGAACCCGGTGGCTTGAGATTTCCTCGTTTCGGAACTTCGCGTTGGCCACGAAAGACGTGCAATGCTTGGACTGAGCCAAGAAAGCGACGGACCAGCCAGCGGGAAGGGCAATACCCCGTCACACAAGGTCTCCGTTTATTTGTAACTTATGGCGTGTAGGTTGAGGCTGAGGCTTTCGCTGGAAACTCTTCACGTCTGGAGCACATTGCCCATCAGATGATCTAGAACAGAGCATGTGTACTTTGTCAATTGGGAAAGGGTTCTGCTTTCCGGAGCATCTCAATGGGTCGAGCGAGCGTTGGAATACATTCCCCCCCCCCACCTGCACCCATCCACGCAAAGCCTCTGATTGAAGCTGAAACAAAGGGGCCGAGACTGAACCCAAAGGGACTGAAACTGGAACAAAAGTGACTGAGGCTGAATCCCAAGGAGCAAAACCGAACCACAAGGGGCTGAAAGAGAAATTGAATCAAAAGGGGCTGAGACAAAGAGCCGAAACTGAAACAACAGGGACTAAAGCTGAAACAAAAGAGGTTGAGCCTTGAATCCGAAGGGACTGGGACTGAAATGGACTGAAGGGACTCAAAGGGATTGAAGCTGAAAGAAAAAGGGCTGAAGCTAAAACAAAACCAGCTGAGACTGAAACCTGAAACATAAGGGACTGAAGCTTAAGCAGAAACGAAGGTGACTGAAGCCGAAGCAAAGGGGCTGAGATTCAATGCACAGGGACTGACACTGAAACAAAAAGGGCCGAAGCTAACACAAAAGGGACCAAAACTAAATCCCAATGGACTTAAATTGAAAAACAACAGTTGAAGCTGACACAAAAGGGGGCCGAATGACACTTAAATGGGCTAAAACTGAAATTAAAGAGACTGAAGCTGAAAGAAAAAATGCTGAGGCTAAAACAAAACCGGCTGAGACTGAAACCTGAAACATAAGAGACTGAAGCTCAAGCAAAGGGGGCTGAAATTGAACTCAAAAGGACTGAAGCTGAAACAAAGGTGACTGAAGCCGAAACAAGGGGGCTGAGATTCAATGCACAGGGACTGACACTGAAACAAAAGGGCCGGGGCAAAAACTAAAGGGACTCAAGCTGAGGCATAAAAGGGGCTGAGGCTAAATCCCAATGGACTGAAACTGAAACAAAAGATGAAGCTGTCGCAAAAGGCCCTGAGGCTGAATTCCAAAGGGCTGAAATTGAAAAAAAGGGACTGAAACTGGAGCAAAATAGGCAGGCTGAATCTATCGGGACTGACACCGAAACAAAAAGGGCCGAAACTAAAACAAAAGGGGTTGAAGCTGAAACACATGCTGAGCAATGCAAAACACACGCGCCCATTTCACAAACACATCTCCAGAAACAAAAGCATTGAGACATAGAGCCAAGCAAACCACCAAATACAGACAAACAAAGAAAGAAGCAAACAAACAAGTGAGAAAGCAAGCCCATAAGCACTGACAACCAACACCAAGCCAAACCGAACCGAACCGAACCAAACCAACCAACAAACAAGCACACCAACACAAACGACACACATGCACACACACACACACACACACACATAAGCAAACAAAACCACGCAACACACGCACAAACACACACAACACCAAGCAGACAACCGACAATACAAACAAACACAAGCAGACAGACAAACAGACAAACAAGCAAACGCACAAATCGCAAACAAACAAACACACAAACAAACGAAAAGGAGGCAAACTCACACAAGCCAAGGACAACAACGACAGCAACAGCAGCAGCTATGCAATTTTAAGGCTTGCAAACTACCTTCTTTAAATAAGGCCAGCCCTCCGTACTTAGAGTCTGTTGTCTTAAATCCGGAAGGTGAAACCTCTAAATTGATTTTTGTTGAAAAACCTTCCTTATTTAAGGCTTCAATCCTTTAAATAAGGTTTTTTCAACATGCGTTTAAGGAAGGTTTTCTTTAAATAAGGTCCTTCTGTTCAAATAAGGTTTTTTGGGAGCGCTGGGTACGCAGCACTGTCTCAACACTGAACTTATCAATTGCTAAGCAGCCGCCACCACGTGACAGCAAAGCCTGCTTAGTTAAAATCTTGATCACTGCTTCAATCCGAAAGGGAACATGCATCCAAAGATAAAGGAGTACGACCGACAAAAGGCGCGCTTGCTCTTTTTCTTTGTAAGGCGTTGCTTGGAAGTCAAGGCTCGGGGGTGCAGGGAGAAAGACAGCGCGTGTCCTTTCCCCGTGTCTGCACCCCCCTGCGGAGCCTTCTCAAATGCCCCCGCGGTCAACAAAGCGTGTTCGACCGGGCGCCAGGTGTATTACCTGTGAGGCGTTAAACAATCGCAGGCATTGGTTGCTGTAGGATGCCGTGCGGGCATCCGACTGGTGTGCATGCGGCACACTCTGCAAGGCTGAGACCTGCCGAGGCAGGCACAGCATGCGGCGGCATGCGATGCGTGGTGCCTGTCAGCACCACAATGCGCTGGGCTTCTGGGGTTCCAGCTGTCGTTCGCCTTCGTTTTTGAAGTTGAGTGACAGCGCTCAAAAAATGACAAAAAAAGGCCCGGTATCCCTCTTAGCCTTTTTCGGCGTTGGGTGACACCGCCAAAAAAACATGCAAAAAACACGGAAAATGGGCTTGTTCAAGGCTCCTCGGTTTAGAGGAAGCCTGAAGGGCCTAGTCCGGAATGCTCAGCCGCTCCGCAAGCTCTGCCGTGGCCGCACGCGCAATCTCGTCGCACAGCGCAGCAGGAACGCTGTAGAGCAGCTCGCGTGACTGCTGGCTGACCCTCTCGTACTGCCCCTCCATCAGCCGAGGCCCCCGCTGCGCAGCCCGGAGGTGCCTGCCGTCCTGCGACCTCGCCTCGGCCTCCAGCGCATGTTGGTCCACAGCCGCGTCTGCTTCCTGTACGGAGTTCCGTACTTGCAGTAGGTCACGTCCACCCAGGGCAGGCGCTCCATGAACGGCCAGGTCTTCAGCAGGCCGGTGGCCGGGTTCTCAACGACCCACATGAGGGGGTCAAAGTGCGCAATGATCTCAAGGGCGCTGAGCACCAGCGCGTCGCCCTCCTCAAGTCGTCGAGGGCGCTTCGTCAGAGCTCGGCTGTATTCCGCGCAGACCGGGCTGGCCCAAACCATGTCGAAGTGCCCCGACGGAAACGTCGTGTAGTCCCAGCTCCGGATGTCGCACAGGAACGTGGGCTCAAATTTCGACACGATGTCCAGCGAGACGACCTCCTAGCCCGCCGCCTCGAAGGCCCTGCCCACCGACTTGGTGCCGCAGAAAAGCTCCAGGAGTCTCGGCATTTTTAAAGAGCAAGATCACCGCCAGTGCGACGACCAAGAAAACTCGCGCGTTCATCGGACCGGATTTTTTTCTCCACGAGATAAAAAGCAGAACTTTGCAACCATGAAGCTTGCACTTGGGCTGGACGTTCAGACCAATGCCAAGGGGGGAAAATTCATGTCCATAGAGGACTCCCATCAGGGCGCGCTGGTGTGCAAGGTCGACGTGGAGGTGCTGTGGGAGCCCGACAACTTCCAGGACGACGGGGCCAAGAGGGTCGGAATGTGCTTTGCGACCAACACCGACCTGGAGCTGTGGACGGAGGAGGTGGAGCAGGGCGTCATTGACAACATGATCATCTTCCAGAAGCCCTTTCCGGGCGCCGCCCGCACCGAGCTTGAGAGCCAGCTGCAGCGCGCCGTCAAGGTGAGCGACAAGGGCAAGCACGTCAAGTGCAAGATTGACTTGGAGCGCTGCCTCTTCTGGGACCCGGCCGGCAACCGCGTGCCGCGCCCCGCGGAGTTCTCGCGTCGCAAAGGCCGCGCGCTTGTGGAGGCCCGGCACGTGTGGCTGATGGGCAGGCAGTGGGGCGCGCTAATTGAAATGCGCCACCTCATGCTGGAGCCCCTGGAGGCGCCGCGCTGCCCGTTCGGCTAGGCCGCCTCCAGCAGCTCGGAGCTTGCCCTTGGGGCGCCCACGTACAGGTGGCGCAGCGTGAGGTGGCACGACTCCAGGTCCAGGCGGACGCGGTTGTGGAGGGTGAGGCCCTGGCAGCTGGCGTAGGTCACTGCTGGCTCGGGGAACAGTTGAAGAAGAAAAACCTAATGAAATTGAAAATTCAAAACCTCCAGTAGCACCAGAGGTCAAAAAGGAAATGGAGGAAGTGAAGGACAAAGTTTTTCAAATTGTAGGTGAATTACCCTTTCTGGAAAATTATTTCATTTCAGCATATTCCGCGAGGAATTCTGCAATTATTCAAATTATGAAATAATATGATTTAAATTTTAACCATAAACTTTACAATAAGAAAATTGTAAAATTTATGATTTATTTTTCTTCGGGAAAATGATAATTTTGTAAAATAATATTTTTGAAAATTTAGAAAAATATTTGCAAATTTTATGTATCAAATCTTGAGTTGAGGTTCTGCTATGAAATGATGAAAACATATTATGTGAATTGGTCGGTTGAGGGGATTTTATCTAACTGGGGGGTGCTCATTGGTAGGTCATTAATGGGCAAGGTTGGTTCATTAATGCCCGGCCGCAGGTGAGGGCTGCTGCAGAGACAGCTGAGACAAGGTAGCGCTTGAGCCCCCAGAGGTGTCCCATTGACCTATAACACTATGCACACAATGCATAGCTACATCGGTCAATTCATCATGCGCTACATCGGTCAATTCATCATGTGCCACAGGCCGAGGTGTCCCAAGCGTTTTGACCGACGCCATCGGTCAATTCGTCATAACCACGGTACAGCGAGCGGTATCCTAAGTGAAGGATAGTTTCCCTCACTTCATGCCCAGGTAGCCAAGCACAGAATTGAGGGATATTTTCCCTCAAAGCTTCACACGACCACGCTACGACGAGATGACTCCATCGATTTTGCCCGAAAATCGGTCCATAGCGACTCAAGGGCTGTTGTGAGATTATATATATTTTAGCG